AAAGAATTCTAATTAAAACTTATTGTTGATGATTCTTGATTGTAGGTGAATGTAGATGATGAATTGGTGAATGAAAACGGAGTTTTTGATACGATATTTATAGAGAAAATTAGCCAAAAAAATATAATTTAACAAAACAGAGTCTGACACTCAGGAAACAAGGTTGGCGCCAACCCTGGCTAGCTGGCGCCAGGCACCAGTGGCTAGCGCCTGGCGCCAAGCCTGGTTCCAGGCGCCAAGGCCTGGGGTTGGACGCCAATCTTGATTCTAACACGTTTTCAAAAATCCGATAAGTTTACCGTACTGGAGGATAAAATAATATAATTTCTTCAGAAATGCTATTTGATTTTGATTAAAACTCTGAAAAGTCAACAAAGTCAACTTATCAATGCTAATTGAATTAGGAATGAAAAGAACCTTCTAGAAGACTAAAAACATTCCTAATTGCATTAGGAATGATAAATCATATTAGGCCCTCCCCTAGATCATTGGGCCGCACATAAAGCTCAAACCGGGCCCAGTTCAGTAAATTGGCCATAACTTCCTGAATAATCGGAATTGGGCTTATAATATATCGTTGGAAAGGTCTTTGCAAGCCCCATATAACTACACTACTATTGGACCCATATCATGGACCAACCAAACTGGATTGGCTGTTTTCTTAAAATAAAGTTTTCAAAAACAGAGAGAAGAGAAAAGAAATAAAAAAACTTTCCGCAACACTAGGCCTTTCCAGACTTTCGTTTCATTCGATTATGATTCAACGTGAAAGGTACTCATCACTGGGTTTGTATTTGGGGAGACACAAATGGGTGTCTACAAGGGGCTTTCGTGGAAAGCGTATTACCCCTCCGACCATAAAGCTGATCTGAACTCAAAGCATTAGAGTTAAGTATGGTATGGATCACGCAAAAGGACTGGCTAAATATAATTCTATGCTCCTACTTTAAGAGGGCACCTGATGAGATGAAAGCAACCACAATTGTGGAAAACATTTCTAACTTAGCTTGATTCTAAAATGCAAGGGCCTGTAAGGGAGCTACCCTATATGGAATTGCGCTTTGAGGATCATGGAGGCAATGCTGTAGCAGACTCTATCGCGAAAGATGCTAGATGTAACTTGGAAGCTATGCATCATATTAGTATTTTGTACCATCCCCCTCCATTCTGTAATGTAGCTTTTGAAAGTGAGCGATGCTCAAACTTTATTAACTGTAATCTTGATTATGCTATATATGGTCATGTAACTAAACTTGGTATTGATAATTAATCTTGCATCTTTCCATCAAAAAAAAATTAAAAAGATAAAAAAAAAAAAAAAAAAAAAAAACATAGCTAAAATTGAGTTTAGACAATAATACTTATGTAATAGTCCTTTAATTAAGTTAAATGTTGTGTATTACAATCTAAAAATTATATCATGTATGCCTTTTAAGTTAATTTTTAGCAGAGATTTCACAATACTATTAACCAAGTATAAGTGCTGGATTAACATGATCATACTTAAGCTAGCTGAACAACAAACTCTAACTGTATAACAACTTCATAGTATAACTGTAGAAAACTTGCTTCTGAACTTTGAGGATAAGTTGTCCCATCTGGTGATCGAACCTTCCTTGATCCCCTTGGTGATCAACGCTTGCGCGACACCTTAAGAGTGGTAGGAAAGTACTTGCACCAGGTTGCTCGGACCTGAGGTTCAGATGCATGTTCCCCTTGTAAGAGGCAATATGGTCCTTCGGATACGAAATCCCATCATAGGTAAAGTGCGACGAAATTTTCACCGTCGGCACATGCTATTCTAGAATCCATTTTTCGAATGGAGAAATGATAGGAAGCATCACGGCCTTTCCCTCGTTCCTAACCGGTGGAACCGCACTCCGCCCTCTTAGAGAGGTAGAAGTGGTTTCGTCCTCGTTTAGACTTAGGAGGGCCGATCAGTACGATCAGGATTGGAGAGGCGGCTATGCAAGCAGTTCCCTGGAGCCAAGGCGTTCAAGGACGCTTCGGCGAGCAGACTCTGGCCGAGAGGAAGAGCTAATGCTTTTGTTGCTGTGATAATTTTAGGTGTTGGACTCCCTGAAGAAGTGCGAGTTCCATTTTCTTTCTCGCTCAGTTCTCCAAGTGTCCTCTTCCCACTTGTCTCCCAGCTTTTTAAAGGAAGGAGGCTTTCCCCCCTCCCCTTGATCGACTCTCCTCCGCAGCTGCCTCGGCTGCTAAGGTGAGCGATCGTGGGGCGGTGGCATGGGATTGGCTTGGGCCTTCATGACTGCCATGAGGGTTTCCATAGCCCGTGCCACCTCTTTTGTTGAGGGCCCTGTTACAGGGGTCCTTGACTCAAAGTGAAAGTGGATACTATGAGGGTGACTCTTAGCATCCGACCTGCTCGTGTGATGCAAGCTTGACCGCTGTCGAGAATGACGAGATGGTGATGGAGATGTTGATTTCTCTGAAGCCTCCCTTTCCAAACCAACCCTCTCCGGGGGCGACCTGTCCGGAGGGGGTGAACGAGACGGCGTGGAAAATGGACCTTTCCCCGCTGCCGCATTGATTGGGTTCCAAGAACCGAAATTTTTGGCATTTTACCGATCTTGCCTTTGTTAGCCATTGATAACAAAAGTTATATAGAACGATTGAGATTGGATTTATTTTTTTTAGAAGTTTTCCCCACAAACGGCGCCAAATTGTTTCGGATGAAAACAATGAACCTTCGGCTAGGTCCTTTCTGATGGGCTAAAGACTAAACTCGGTCCAAGTAATGTTGGGCCGAGGGTTACCTGCACAGCAAACACACGTAAACTGGCCTCGGAGGGTGTGCCGAGGATGTCCTCTTCGATGCCGAAGTTAGTACAATGTAGTGAGAGAAAGTGATATGCAAGAGTATTAATTACTTGAGGCAATTTGTGAATGAATGCAAAGTGGAAGAAGTGAAGGCTTTTATACCTTAGCAAAATTGGAGATATGGGTCACAAGCCAAGTGGGTTTGCCACTTTAACTGGGTCGTTGACTTGACTTGGCATGAATGGAGGATTAGACCTTTAACCTTGGGCTTATAATTGGATCATTTATAAATCGGCCAAATTGACATAAATTGGACCCAACAGGTCCAATTGGAGTAAATTGGACCCAAACACTTATGTAATAGTCCTTTAATTAAGTTAAATGTTGCGTATTACATCTACAAATTATATCATGTATGCATTTTAAGTTGATTTTTAGCAGAGATGTCACAATACGATTAACCAAGTATAAGTGCTGGATTAACATGATCAGACTCAAGCTAGCTGAACAACAAACTCTAATTGTATAACAACTTCATAGTAACTATCTACAAATAAGAAATCATAGAGGAAATCTTTAATTACACAACAGATGCTTATAAAGAACTAAAAACGAATTACATATAATGGAGTTAAAACTACAAATTTACTAGCTTACTCACCAATATAATGTTCTGTTTTCCAAATCAAACACTTACGAATGACTATTAATCGACAAATCAATGAGGAAAATCGAGCAATCATATATACTCAACTAAGACTATCTCTAAGGCTAAAACATGTCTAAATTATAGTCACATTTATAACACTAACATGAAAGAATATCACCCAACAGTCTATTTTTATACATCTTATTAAAGAATCAATTTAAGCTTAGAGTTTGTTGCAGCAAACCATGATGACAGGCTTCTTGATGCCTCTTCTTCTATTATCCTTAGACCTTCCGTCTCGCTGAAATTCTGTGATGAGTTGTTTCACATTCTCATAAACCAGCGCCACTTCAGCAGACAAGTCGAATTCTACAGCAATGTTCTCCATGATATCAGGAATTGTATCAAATCCGAGTAAGAACTCAAAATGTATCTTTCTAACCAAATCATTGCGAATCATCCTCAAAGTAATAGATATCAATACATCCTCTGACATTATCCCCTGTAACCTGAATTTTTTTTATCTCTACTATAATAGAAACGTTGGGGTAGTTATTAAGTTGTTAGTTTTATAGGAGAAATCAGTTAAGTCGGTTATTAAGATCAAGAAACAGAAAATGGGTTTTCTTGATTTTTATATTATAGTTAAATAAATATCTTTAATTTGCTTTTTAATTAATAGAAATCTTAACTTTAATTTAAGATATATCTAATAAATAAAAGTCACTGGCTCACAACAATGTGTAATCTCGAATGAATGGTGTAACAAAATAACTAAATGAATCAAGTAGGATGATAAAATCTTTCATTCCCATATGAGTTCATGTGTCTGTTCTTTCCGATTTGAATGTACACGTTTGCAAATATTGACCAGAAATATTGTTAGTTGCTTATCAGTGAGTAATAAAACAATTGAAAACTAATAAATTTCATTAAAACGAATAAAATAAGACCCGACATAATTATATGTTATGTCTTATATATTGATCATAATTTAGAAGATTTTCCAACTTATGAATAGTATCAAAATAAGAAATGAAAAGAACATTTGGGGACGAGGGGAGTACTAATTTAAGAATTATAAATCAAAATTTGTTACTAATCTTGATTAATAATTTATTAATGTCTCACTTTTAATGAACTTCTTAAAATGTAGGGGCTGGTGCATATGTTGTTACTCTCTTAAGAAATAGCATTAATAATTATGTACTAAGAATCATACAATTACAAACAAAACATTAATCATAGTAAGAAAAGTATTAATTATATTGTATAGGAAAGCTTTTGTTACACAATATATGCTTGTAGTACTTAACTACAAATTAACTAGCTAACTCACTAACATAATGTTCTGTTTTCCAAATCAAACACTTACAAATTGAAAGACAATTAATCGACAAATTAAAGAAAGCAAAACAAAGGTAGCTAGACCTAAAGTGGAGCAATCGTATACAATTAAGACTCAACTAAGACTAAGACTCAAAGTATCTCTGACATGCCTAAAATTATAGTCACCTTTATTACACTAACATAAAAGAAAATCATTGAATAGTCTATTTTTACTAAAGAATCAAATTGATCTGGGTTTATTGCAGCATAACCAATTTGGTAGCTTCCATTTCCTGTTGTTACTTCTTCTATTATCCTCAGATGAGTCAGATCTTCCGTCTTGTGTCTGCTCTGTGTTACTGTCATGAGGTTCATGCAGAAATTCTGTTATGAGTTGTTCCATATTCTCTGTAACCACCGCGATTTCTTCAGCAGACGAGTCAAATTCTACTGCAATATCCTCCATGATATCAGAAACTGTATCAACTCCAAGCAAGAACTCAATATTCATCATTGTAACCATATCAATGCCATCAGTAATAATCCTCAGAGTAATAGAAATCGATACATCCTCTGACATTATCCCCTGTAACCTGAATTTCTTATCTCCACTGTCAAATTCCTTCAGTACTTCTGCAGGCGGCTGCAGTAGTTCAGCCACTTGATGTCGAACAGATTCTGTCAAACTCAGATTACCAGCAGCATTACTAGTACTAGCAGTCGATGTTTCAGTAACATCGACTGCAAAAAATGAGTCATCTAAAAGTTCCAATACCGTGGTTCTTGGAGAAGGAGAGAGACACTTGGTACTAAACCGCTCAATTTCTTTATTTTCCACTCCGGCTAGCACAGCCAACTTGTAAGTCATCGAATCACCGCGGCCAAATACCAGCTGACGCATCCTGAGCTCACCGTGTAGTAATCTTCTGCTATCCGCCATCTCTGCTACTGTAGCCCCAAACTTCTCTATGTCTTCTATAACCCTTCGCTGACCGTACTCCTTTGCGATTCCGAAGTCTCCTAGTTTAATCGTGCCCGTGCTACCATTAACAAATATGTTAGCACAGTTAATGTCAAGGTGACAAACAGGCTGATCACGAGTATGAATATAATGTAACGCGCTTATAATCTGTCTACACCAATTCTTGATCAACGCGGTATTAGCAACAAGATCATGTTTCAAAATGTAGTTTCTCAAGTCCCCTGAAGGACAATACTCTGTAATCATGTTCACGACTTTGTTGGGTCTATCTAACCAATGATCGTAGCATTTAATTATGTTTTCGTGTTCTAATGGCATCGATAATTCAGCTTCAGCACAACTCTCAGACTTCTTTATTTCCCTTGTAAATGGTATCTTACTCCAAGCAATTTCAATGCCTTTAATCTCATCGAACCCCAAGTAAACTCTTTTGAAGGAGCCGCTTCCTAAGGGTTTGTCGGACCTTGCGAATATTCTAGCCTCATCTCTTTCTCCTCTTTTCTCTCTTTCCACAATCCTCCATTCGATTGAACTCGAAGATGCCATTACTAATTTAGTACGTAGCAATAAGAAATTTAGTACGTAGTAATAAGAAATGATAGAACAGAACGAATGAATGAAAGAAAGAAAGAAGCTAAGGTTTGTGATGATTTTAATGGATGAAAAATGAAGGGATATATAATTTTGAAGAAGAAAGTAAATAATAGAAATGGATTGTTGAAATATTTATAGTGGTAGTTTGTTATCAAGCTGTTAGTTTTGTTGGGGAAATCAGTTAAGTCGGTTATCAAGATCAAGAAACATAAATGGGTTTTCTTGATATTTATATTGTAACTAAATATCTTTATTTATCAAAAAAAAAAAAAATTAATTTTAATTTAAGATATTTTCTTGGAAAATAATAAATAAAAATGAATAGCTCTAACCGTAAGGGATATACGTAATCTCGAATGAATACTGAAACAAAATAAATTGATGTTGCTAATCAATTCACTCCCATATTATTACTTTGGAATTCAAAATTAACACGTGTTGCTAATCTTGATTAATTAATAATTGATGTTTACACTTTTCATTAGCTTCTTAGTTCTTGATTTTAGGACGGGTGCATATAAGATATGACCATTGTTACTCTCCATTTCGAAATGTATTAACAATGCTTATTATTCCGTATTAATATAGATCTACCTTATTTTTACTATAACATAAATTGAACGATTGTGATGGAAAAGTATTACGAAGTACAAGTCTATAACACACCCTTACTAAATGTCATGTAATAACAAGTTCTAGGCCTTCTAGAAGATGCATTATGTACTAAACGTAAAGGTGATCATGGACCGGAATAGGCTTTGAATTGCCAAAAAATAAAGACCCATTTTGGGCCAAGCCTTCGATTGAGGCCCAACTTCACTCCGAAAAAGTCGCGTCCAAACCTCTTAATTCAGGTCAAAATCGGATCATACCAAAATTTTAACTAAAAATGGACGCAAATTATAATATGCACCATGGTGCACCTTAAATTGTGTGCACCACCAATGAGTTGATGCCACGTAATTAGTAGTTGCCAGCTGTAGCTTTCTTCTTTCAAATTCTCAACGTTCTTCCCTTTTCTATTTCATGTGTTCTTTCCTTTTTTAATTATTTTCTAATTTCTCAATTCCTTTTCTTCAATTTTCTTCTTAAACTTACCTGATTTTAAATCATCATACATAATTTCTCTCTCCTCTATATTCTCTCTTCTCTATCTTTCTCTCTTCGTATATTGAATGCGGTTATCACCATTGTTTATTCCTCTGTTTTGATTGAATTTGGCTGGAATTCTCCTGGAATTACCTTCATTATAAAAGCAAATTCGACTAATGAGATAGGATCGAGAGGAAAAATCTTGCATTTAATTTAATATTTGACTGGTTTTTTCCCGGAGAAGATGATGATGGTTCGACGGAGTAGTTGAGGCGAAATAGGTGGCGATGGATTTTAGCTATATGAGGAGATTAATTTAGGAAGAAATTAATTAGGAAAAGTATATCTAACTTGCAGAGTATGTGGAGCTTCATTCATGGTGAATGTTGCCTAACTTGGAGAGAGAAAGTAATAAAGTTGTTAATGTATATCCTCATATAGTCATATCTGACTTACTTTGGTTAATTTGATCAAAAAAAAAAATCAACTTAGCTTGGTATCAATTAAACAATCACGCATCCCGTCAAAAAAAAAAAATAAACAATCACGCACATTCATATAATTTTCAATACATGAACCCCTTTTATTTAGTTCATGTGTATAGAATCGATCATTTTCTCATTTTATTATGAACATTCCTGTATTCGTTTATATTTTGGTAATTTTGAACATTTTTGTTAAAAATTTGAACATATGAAACGTATCCTATGTAAGTAAATTTTTACCGGTATATATTTTGGAATTTTGAACATCTTAATTATAATTCTGAACATGCTATACATTTCTTATGAACATTTCTTTAGATCTATGAACATTATGAACAGTACATCTTAATTATAATTCTGAACATATATTTAGGAATTATGAACATCTTAATATACAGATTGGTTATTAACATATATTTTTAATTATATTTTTCAGTGAATAAAGAATAAATCTATTCTAACTCAATAAAGAAACAAGTCAGAACATATAAAGAAGTCTTTTCACTACAAGAAAAATCACTTTTCGTGGCAATTATTTCGTAGCGATTGTACATTCGTTACAATATGCAAGTATGTTTATGAAATAACTAAGGATGTCGTATCATTTTTACAATCGCCATGGTTTTCCAATATAAAATCGATACGGAAAACATAATAATACATATCCACACTATTTTTACACATTTATATAATTTTGAGAAATCGCATCATTTACAATCGCCACTTAATCCTAAAAATCGATACGAAAAGCCTTTACAACACTAGATATATAAATATTGCTTGACAAAGAGTACATAAAATATGTCATAACTTATTGGTGAAACATTTAATATAAGAGTTTGAGGTTGCATGTTCAAATCTTGTAAAGATCATACGCATGTTTTTTTTTTGGAAGAAAATGAGTTAAACATTTATAGCGATTGTAATTGCTACAATAATCACCACGATTGGATGTAGTTTATCATATCGATTATTGAGGCCAACCCCAGCGATATTGAAAACCACTACTAAAGGCTAAGGCAACGGAGGATATTGTATCGAATGACCATTCGTTGGGAAATCTTTTTGTTGCAATTACAATCGATACTAAAGGTTAAAATAATCGCTACGAAAATGTTATTTTCTTGTAGTGTTTGAGCTATAATGGTTATGCTTTTTGATTTGAACTTCTAACGTAATTTCATGAACATATGTTATTTATGAACATACATATATATTTTGCATTTGCTTAAAAAAAATTGTTTTTTTTAAATAAGTGGTTAAGAATTTGTTATATATTTTGTTATTAATTAGATATATGAACCTATATGTTACATTGGTTTTGAACATATATTCATTCTATATACGAGTGCTAAGTAATTTTATACAAGTGGATACGAAGTATGGAGTATTAAGTTTGAACATTCTACTTTCATAAATTGAACACTAATTTTTTTTTAAATGAACATAATAGACGTATTTTCTTATTAGTTGTTATTAAGAGCATATGATCAATGGACATAGTACTATACCTGTATTATAGCTTTTTTTCTCACCGAGATAGTAATAAGTCCTTGTATAATAGGCTAATAGCTTCAAATAAAGAACAAAAGTGGTAATACATTACTATATATGTTGATAGCTGGTTTGTATGAGGTGAAAGATTTATAAGCAAACTCATACGTTAAAATATGTAAAATAATAACATAGAATCTGGCATACAACATGTAAATGACAAATAAATATTAAGTACAAAATAATAAAAATCAACTAATAATAAGAAATTTAAAATGAATGAAGAACCATGATAATAAACCTATAGGTATGTATTTATTATATTGAAAATGAATATGATAAATGAACAATTAGAGTACAATTAATGAACATATTTTGTCACATGCATATATAGTACATGAATGAACAATTAGAGTACAACTTATGAACATATTTTGTCACAATTCAACGCCCTTATTATGTTCTTATGTTATTTGGATTTGGATTTTTAGCTAGCAACACAGCTCATATTTCGTAACCTTGCCTCCTCTTTTCTCCAATTCATTTTATTCATTCATGTACCAATTTCTTCGCCCATACAAAAATGATAGGGTGAGTCTTTTTGGATGCAGAATATTTCTCTTTTGAGCACGAACTCATCAAAACAACAGTATAACATAAGCAACAAGCATAAGAATATGAACAATACGTATTTAGAATGAACAAATTAAACAATATTAATTAATATGAACAATAAGCATAAAAATATGAACAATAAGAATTAGAATATGAGCAATGTGCATTAGCATAAGAACAAACGACTTTGGTGGCTTTTCACTTGATTCTGATGCCTTATCAGAAGTTTCAGAGGGCTAGTCTGTTTCTTCTAGTGGCATATCAGAAGTTTCAGGGGGGCTTTTCTGTTTCTTCTAATGGCTTATCAGAAGTTTTGCTTCTCAGAAGTTTCAAAGGGCTTTTTTAATTTCTTTTGGGGCTTTTCTATGGCTTCTGGTTGCTATTAAGATGTTTTCGAGGGCTAAGCAGATGTTTGTTGTGGCAGTTCAAATGTTTGTGGTGGTAGTTCAGATGTCTTCGGACTGTTAATAAAAAATAAACAACATAATGAAAAACAATGAACACCCAAACAAATTTGAACTTCATAAAGCATAAGCTATATGATCATAAATAATAATTAATATGAACATGAAACATAAAATATATGAACACAAATATTGAAGTGGGGGTTGTTCACTGTTCTTTAGGGGGATGTTCAGTGGTTATATTGTGTTGTTTAAAAGTTTTTTGAGGGTGTGCAGTAGTTGGTTTGCTTATTATTAAATATTAAACAACAAAATAAGGAAACACACAACATCCAAACAAATTATTATTTCATCATACCAAAATACTTAATATAATTTATACACAAATTATTACTTCATAAATTAAAGTGTGTATATATATATACACACACACAACGTATATGAACATCAAACATGAATTATATGGGCACAATTGCTACTTCATAAATTAAATTATTACTTCATAAATTAAAGTGTGTATATATATATACACACATACAACGTATATGAACATCAAACATGAATTATATGGGCACAAATTATTACTTCATAAATTAAAGTGTGTATGTATATATACACACACACAACGTATATGAACATCAAACATGAATTATATGGGCACAATTGCATTGTTAGCATTGCCTCCACTAAGTTCAGAAGTTTTTGAAGGTGGTATAGAACTTTATGGTGTTTGTACAGAACTTTATGGTGATTGTACAAAAGTTTCTGGAGGTGGAACAGAAGTTTCTGGAGTGGGTGGTATAGAAGTTTGTGAAGGTTGTTCAGAATTTTCTGAAGGTAGTACAGAAGTTTCTGGTGGCTT